CCCCCCCCCCCCCCCCCCCCTCTACCCGCGGAAGTCGCCGCCGTCAGGGCGAACCTCGACCTCGACGAGCGCGCGTTCGCCGTTCATTCCACCCGAAATTCCGGTATTCGGCCGAATTCGGAGGATCGGGAAATCAATCCCCGAATCCGTCCGGAATTCGAGACGATTACACGCGAGAGAGAGAGAGAGAGAGAGAGAGCGGCCACGGTCTTTAAACACGCTCACGAGACCGGGGCAAAATCGCCCCGGCGATTTTCGCGTGTCCGCCTAACGAGCCGATGATCGTCCGGGAAATGACTTTCAGTTTCGGAGCTTTCGTACGGCCCACAAAGGCAGAGACGCCAGCTCGCTCGCCCCGGCGAGCAACCTACAATTTGTCGAGTCGCAAGACTAATTGGACATCTTGCCGTCAAATTCGCTTCTCCGGTTTCTGTCGTATCACGCGCGCGTATGCGCCTACCTTCTGGAAGGCAGGATCGAGCGCTCTCGTCCGGCAACGCCGTCCGAGCACCGTTCATCGCGGCGCGAACGGAGTTACGCATCTCGCTTATACGAGAGAAAGAGTGAGAGGGAGGGAGAGAAAAAAGGGAAAGAGAGGGAGTGAGAAAAAGAAGGAGAAAAGAAGCGGGATAATCATCGGTTACCGACGTGCGCCTCGGTCTCTCGTATTTACATATACGACGGGACGCGCGTATACCCGCGCGTTTGCAACTAATTGCGAGCTAATGGCGAGGAGGAATATAGTCGCGGCCACTCGCGCGCGCTGTTGGCGGCGACGTCGATGCGGACTCGATGCGTTAACGAGAACGAGAATGGCCTAGCGAGCATTATCGCGACGCGATGATTCAATTAACACCGCGCGATCAATAATAACGCGAAGGCGCCGTCGACAGAAAACACTGCGCCTTTGTTCTCGCTACCTGGTGCGCGCACGCTGAACGTTGACATTACCGTCACGCTCGGATAATTGAACAAACGCGCTCGCCGAGAGATGAAATGACGTTTATCGTTTAGCGCGACTGCTACCGCTGGTGGAAGCTTCTCTCCGCTTCGCGCTTTGCTGCGCGAGCGTTTCGCACGATTGCATCATTATCGCGTTATTAATGATCTCTTGGTTTGGTGTTCGCGTGTATGTCAGATTTCTTTTCAGTGTGATCTTAATAATCTTAATAATTTATCTTAAGTGTGAATCGGAGTAATTAGCCGACGCTAGTTAGTAGCGAGATATTTTTATCGATGTTCGCCGATACCCCTCGGAAGAAGCAGAGGCTGAGGTCGATGTAGTGTGAGCAGCGCTATTTCTGAGTTTTTGTCTTGCTTGAAGATTTGAGCGATCGTGTATCTCGTATCAAGCGCGTAACGTTTGATCCCAGCCCTCTTCTTTCTAGTTAGACGATTCCACCTGATTTAATTAACTTTCTAACAGCAGGGTGAAATTTTAACGTATCCCAGAAAGTGGGATTAGACGCGGCCCCATGCTCTGTTTTGTCCATTTTTCATGCAATCAACGTACAAAATCGGTAAAAGAAGTAAATAATAACATGAAATATTCCTGAAGAAAAGAAACAGCGCGTGTACTGTAAAATAAAGGTAGGGTCGATCTAACCCCACCTTACGCAGAAAAAAAAACATTTTATATCTGTGCTAAAATCGGTCCTTGTCCAATTTTCGTGTTAAATTTTTAACGTGTCCGTGTGTTAATTTAACATATTGTTATTATTTTATTTCAATATTTTGCGTCGAATCGATATTCAACATGTGCAACTGTTAAAATAACACATTTTATATTCAAGCGTTGATTAACATATTATGGATATTAATTTTGCGTTGATTTTTGACGTAACATCTGTGCTGTTTGTCAACGTATTCACCTTGTGTTAAATTAACGCCAAATTTTTTACTGCGTAGAGGGTTACCTCTACTTCCACCGTTAGAGGGTTAATCCGGACCGACTTCCGGCAGCCATGGGAACGTATATCGCTCGACACGCGACACCTTTTGCGTAGGGCGTAGGGTAGTTTTAAGAGAAAAGCTGTAATGGCATATAACTAGGTTCATGTGGTTGTTGCTCCAGGACGATCTTCACGTCACAACAGCTGGAGGAGCTGGAGGCAGCCTTCAAGGAGGCCCATTATCCGGACGTCTACGCCCGCGAGATGCTGAGTCTGAGGACCGATCTACCTGAGGACAGGATACAGGTGAGTGAGAGCTACGAGCCACGACCCATCCCCGCGCGGATCCACGGTATCGACGTACTCGATAGTCCGACGACGAAAACGGCGAGCTCGATCGAGCGGTATCGTACACACGTGTGCGGGGGTGGTTTTTTTTCGATAGCCGGCGCTTTGTTGTTCGGAGTGCGGGAGTATGGCCAAAAGCCGCGACCCTGAAAGAGAAAGAAAGAGAAAGAGAGAATTTCCCGGAGCTGACAGTTAGTTACCGCGGATTCACCAAGCAGTAGGCCGAGATCGCTTTCCGCATGGCGGACTCGGAACAAGCTCCTCTTCCTCTTTTTACACATCTCCTCCCTCCGTTCTCCCGCTGTCGCTCTCTTTCTCTCCTGCGATGTCCTCTCTTTACACCCCCCTTGTTGCCCGTTACGCCTCTCGTTCTCTGAATTCTCCTCGCCAGCCGTTTCTCCCCGTGCACCGACCCCCACGTCCATTCTGCTCTATTACGCCACGGAGCGACACTCGCGTGGTGTCTAATGCACGAGAGGTGTGAAAGATGCACGAGGCGCTGCATCTTTCATCCCGACCATTGTGCCGAGGCACCTTGGGACAGTTTCGACGAGTAAATGGCACGTAAGTGGGGGTCACCGCGAATGCCCCGGCGAGATCCCGCGTCGCGGAGTAAAATGATGGCCGGAGCCTGGAGCCGTCTTTCTTCGATGCGTTGTTACGCAATGAACGCAATGAAAGAGTCCGGTGGCGAGACTCGTTGAAATTGGACGCCGTTGCAGGAGCAACTCGGCCGCATCCGCCGTCTTTTACTCAATGGTGCACGCAGTGCGGAATATGCGAGATATATTGCAATACTTATTATAGAGATCATTTCTTATCGTCTTTGAAGTCTCTCTCATTAAGATTGTTTGAGAAAATCCGTGGCTATTTTAATAGTAAAAAAATATCGAGCACTCGAAGATGCTGTTAGTAAAATCCGAGTATTTCTATACCAGGTATTGTAGTACGTGTAGTACTTAGATAACCATCAAGGGACCTATTTATAAATTTAATATTTATCAAGCAAAATTATATTCCTATATATTTATTTCACTGCCTGAATAATAAATGTTAATTTTAAATGAAGTTGAGGTAGAGAGAGATATATTCATAATATTATAAATACGAAGATATTATTTTTTATTTTTTTATTAACGCTATATTTATGCATTAGTTGATCTAATAGAGACGTATAGATATAGTAGAAAAAAATATGTAAGTATTTATAAATACGTGCATGTATATATGTATTTCGAGTATTACTATGAACTATGAATTTTACACCGCTGTATTTCCAAAACGAAATGATCAATAATTCTAAACTGTTTGCATAATGTCTCTATAGTCTTTAATATCATAGTAGTTTTCCATTAAAATCTTTAAATATGATTTAGGAGAAGTTAAAAGTAGTCAAAAATAGGGCATTAGTATCAAGAAACGCATATAAAAAATGTCACTTTTAGTTGTGAATACTTCGGTTTCCGGATGGTCAATCGTTTTCTAATTGCGCCAATTAAGTCATATTTAAATCTATATATAATACAAGTTTCAATGAATTCTGAAAAAATTCATTTTGTGCTACAACTACCTTAAGATGAGATAAAAGAAAAGTGAATATTGTGCCAAATATTTCATATTTTAATTTGATATATTCTAGTATATGAAAATTAACTATTTCGTAAGTCACTATTTGTGGTGATTTAAAAACTAAATAAGGAGAAACAATAAAAATAAATCACAGAGGAGATACACGAGTACTCCCCCTCCCCCGGGGAGTAACATTCGAGTTACTCAGATAGTACCCGACATACCCGTGTACAAAATTGACACCACTACTAGAAAATATTGTTTAATGAAACATATCACAGCCAAGACTAAGTGTTTCAACGGAAACTTCAACGCTCGTCCGTCTCGTTAATTCAACCGCGTATCATGGCCGACGTTAAAGGGCTCGACGTGTATCACGAAAATTCACCGAAAATCCGGACGGTCGCGCCTCTTCACCCGCACCAGGGCGGCAACGGGGAGTGGAAGCGAGATAACGGGAGGGTACCTCCGCCGGGTGTCACGGCATGCGGCGACTCACCCTCGACGCCGCGCGATCACGTGCGTGTGCACGCGCATTAGCGCGGCTCGCACGTATCGCACGTCAGAGGTGCCCGAGTGGATTCAACTAAGAGGGTCCCCTCACGCCACTCGTGCACTCCCCCTCCTTCCCTCGTACCGTCGCTAACTTATCACGCTTGTCGATTTGCGTCGTGGACTAAGAGGGGGAGGAGGATCGTGGAGGAGGGAAGAGGAGGGAGAGAGAAGAAGTAGGCAGCGGGAGAAAATGGCCCGCGGGCCACGACTCGGACACCTCCGCGTGTACGTAAGTGAATGAGCGTTCAGTTGCGTACAGATATTCACACGTGCACGTATCCATACACATACATATGCGTACACGTGTGCCGTGTGTACACGTACACGTTGCAGCCCGTGATTATATTTTGATATAATTCGTAGTACGGAGGGCGGCCGCCGCGAGCGGCGGAGGTGGTCGGTGGGCCAAGTAGGAGTAGGGTGGCTGGCGGGGGTTGGGGATCGTGACGGTACGGGGTTGTCGAGGCTGCCTGAAGCGTGCAGGCGCGTACACACAGAGCGCCGTGGAACGACAAAGCGGCCATTACAGGATGGGTGCGGTCCCGCGAGCCAATCAGAGAGAGGAGCCAGGGACCGGTCGGCCAATCGGGACGCGCCTTCCACCCGTCTTTTGTTTCTAAATTTGCGCGCGCGACGGGGACACAATATAACGAGACGCGAGACGGAAAGAGGGGCTGATAATCGTTAACGGGGATATTTTTGCGCGGAAAGAGAAAGAGAGAGAGAGAGGTTGGGAGAGAGGTAGAATGAGAGAGGGAGGGAGAACGGCGTCTTTCTCCCCTTCTATCGCTCACCCCGCCTCGCTCTGACTCCCTCGCGCGCGACGCGCTCTTTATTCCTGCGTCTGTCTTTGTCCCTCTTTGACGAGATTCGCGAGTTACTTAGGCGCCTCAACGTCTTCCCGGATCGCCACAAGTCCGTGGTGTACGAATTTCATACGGCTCTCAAGAGGTTGTCAATTAATCCGCTGTCGCGAGTTATACCGCGAGAATTCAAATTCGTTTTCCTCCTTTGATCTCTTTTCTTCCGCGTTTACTGCCGTGAATCGAAAAACAGCAATTTAATTTGTTCAATAGAAATTATTTGATTCGTGAGGATCGCCGCTGAGCGTCCGGGTATGTCCGTGTACTTAGATACTTGATAACGTTCGGTTACTTATTTTTTTATTTATTTATTCTTTAAATGATTCCACGCACATAAAAATATTAAGGCAGGATTCACGAAAAGCTGATACTTTGCGAAACATTTAGTTTCTATATTAGAAAATTGCAAAATAAAAAACGAAGTATTTGGCGAAGTATTTACTTTTCGTTGATTTTATTTTAATATTCTTCATACGCGCATTAAAACAAGAAAATGTATATATATGTGAAGAAAAGCATATAATTCCATTAAAAAAATTCCGATTCCCGGTATCCGGGTACCTAAGTAGTATCTGTGAGTTTGAATTCCCCCCCCCCCCTCCCCCTCCCTTAATTCGAATACTACCCCTGAATAACTAGGTATGTAAACACCTGCGATTTATATTAACATCACTAATAATTAACCACTTGAGATATAGGTTTTTATTGTCGATAAAATCAGACTGACAAATAAAGAGAGAGACGATCAAAAATTATAAAATATCTTGCACTTGCTTTCGTACGTTATAGCCAATAATGTCATTGTGTGGTCGAATAACGACCGATCGAGCGAGATTAATTTAATGAATTTCTTTTTCACGTTAAGGATCTTCAAAGTTCCCGACCCGATGTTACGATCGTTAACGTTTGAAGAAACAACCGGAAAAGGGCGTTTCCGTTAACGGAATTACCACGTCCACTCGATAATTTGACAGTAGGTGCCTGTCGGTTTCGAATGCACTAGAGTGTTATTACTTGATGAAATTAACGGTTTCGAATAGATCGATGTGGTATCTGGACGAATTACTTAGTTATGCTCATTGAGCTCTACAAATTGCTGGTCATCACTATTTAGTCTGTCTATACGCAGACATTGTGCGGAGAAGCTGCGTTTTGGTAAACGGCGCAAATTGTGTCAGCATTTATCGTTAATAAATGTTTATGCACAAAATAGAAAATGTAACACGGTCGCAAATCATACTTAATATTCCGCGAGTTTGCTTATCAGATATTATAAATCAATTATATTAAGACCGTTAACAAAAATGACACTATGTCACTTCTTTCACGGATTTTATGCTGTAGTTTCGAACTTTTCAAGGTGTAAACAATTCGAAAGGAGAAATAATATTTTTTCGAATTTCGTCTGTCATTTTGAGATCTACAAACAGTGACATCGTTATTCTTTTAACTTTTTGGTACTTGGTTTTGAAAATGCTATAGTCTCGAACTCTCTTTGGTTTGATCTTTAGAGCAAGCGAGAATGAACATGTCTACTTCCTCAAAAAGCTATCGAAAAATATCGGAACGGATACGACCACGGAAAGATTTCACTGATATTTTACAAGACTCTGCGACCAATCGAATTTTTGCATTCAGCATCTCCGTGCATTTGACGTGCATTTTCATGCCATTCGTATCAATACCACTGACATATCGGTTTAGTCTTATCTCGCCGCCGACGAACTGCATCGACATTTTCGTTTTCGCGTTGCTCCTCTCGCCCGATTAGCGCCTGAGGGCGATGGAATTTGCTCACTTATTGGGTCTACGAGATCCGTCCTGTTGAACTGAACGTTTTCTAATTCGCTTAACGCAGTTTCATTTTTCAAAGAAGCTACGAAGGGCTTGAAACTATTTTATTAAGTATTTTAAAAATTTATCGGGAAAGTTATTTTATCTTTCTTAAAGATATCTCAAAACGGCCAACGG